AGTCTTTATAGTCATCCAGTTAGGAAGAATTGGAAGGTAGCTATAGTAAACTCAGTTTTCACCATGTTCTCCAGCTTGATTTAGCTACATCCTTCCTGTGAGTCACATCATGAAGTTCCTTTTCTGGTCACTTCAACTGGGTTTCCAGATTCATTACCTTTTCACATAAAGGCACCAGTTAAGAATGCTAAGCCCACCTACAATAGAACCATTCTCATTTTTAACTATGTTTCAACTCTTCTGAAACAGAGGATCTGAAGAAGAGTCTCTTTTCTAATAGGACAGGTTTCAGAGTAGCAGCCATGTTAGTCTGTATTCGCAAAAAGAAAAGTACTTGTGGCACCTTAGAGAACTAACAAAGGTGCCACAAGTACTCCTTTTCTTTTTTCTAATATGAAGGGTTATCAGGAAAGGAAATTTTGGACAGCAGTATAAACATCATGAAATGCATGGGATTAGGCTTTTCCATAAGGGCCTTGAAATCTTTCAGTTTTAAGACTTGCACTTTACATAAAGGATATTGCAAGCTGGTCTGCCACAGGAAGAAAAATCCATGTAATCAACAGAACAAATCCCATCTTCATATAGCACCTTTCATTCCAAAAGATGATGACAAAGCACTTTTATTTTGTTTAAATTAAATGAGAGGATTTCATTTCATTACAGCTCACTTTGGGGTAAAACATGGCAACAACTTAAGTCTACCTAGATTTAAAGCCAGGAGTTTAAGTTGGCGTTTCCAATTATTCTGGGATTAATGCAAAAAGTTCCATGGAATCTGTTATAATCACCAGAGTTCAGAGACTCTGTTTTACAACTCATGCAACAGACAGCACCTCCAGCTGCACACTGGCCTTGTAAGAACGTTCTGGAATGTGGGGTCAAGATGATCCCAGAAAGAAGATCTGCTACTACTAAAGCAGCAACACCACGTAGTGCAACACCTGCAAGGTCTCCCTTCCAAGCATTCACTATCTGAATCTGTTTAGCTTGAAAGAGCAGATGGGACCACCACGAAAGACAGCAAGTTTGCACTAATGCAATATTCTATATCTTTGCTACCAGTCCTATGGAAGTATTCTATGGGCCAGATATTTAAAGGGATCCTGACCCGGTCTCCTTTATTGGAAGGCAGAGGTCCTGCCATTTAGATGTCTAGATACCTGATTTGCTAGGACATTTATGTAGAAAGGTGCCTAAATGATAGCATTTGCAGATACCGTTCAGGGTTGGTGCAGAAACATGCCTGTAAGAAGGAGTCTGCACTGAGAATCCGGCCCTATGTATTAGCCTGGGAATAAGCACTCGTACTTTGGAGTTAGCACATACAGGCTGTAGCTACACTAGACAAATCCAGAGCAGCTTCCGGGGAAGTGCAAAGGATCTTAAGATAGATGAAGAGATAAATAATAAATAAAAATGAAGAGAGATGCGCCTTTGAAAAGGGAACTGGATGGGTGAGACAATATTAAACAGCAACTCAAACTACTTGGAGTCTTCTGCAGTAAGTAGTGAAATAAAGCCAACTGCTCACAGTGGGGAAGTGTTTGCAGCTGAACCGATAGTCACTGAAAGGCCTCTCAGTCAGGCTGCTGCATAATTCATAATCTTGCCCACTGAGCATAGGAATGCTTTACAAAATGTAGATCCAATTCGTGTTCCGTTTTATACCGGAGAGAGACAACAGTTGGATAACACAGACTGCCAAAAACCCAAGCAAACACATCACACATATCCTAGGAAGCACATACAACAGACTTTAAAAAAATTCTGAGGCACACAGAGAACGATCTGGAAAAAAGGGGGTAAACGCTGAGGTGGCAAAATGTGCAGATGGTACAAAACTACTTGAGATCGTTAAGGCCCAGGCAGACTGCGAAGAGCTACAAAAGGATCTCACAAAACTGGGTGACTGGGCAATTGAGTGGCAGATGAAATTCAATGTTGATAAATCAAAAGTAATGCACATTGGAAAACATAATCCCAACTATACATATAAAATGATGGGGTCTAAATTAGCTGTTCCCACTCAAGAAAAAGATCTTGGAGTCATTGTGGATAGTTCTCTGAAAACATCCACTCCATGTGCAGCGGCAGTCAAAAAAGCAAACAGAATTTTGGGAATCCTTAAGAAAGGGATTGAAAATACAATAGAAAATATCATATTGCCTCTATATAAATCCATGTACACCCACACCTTGAATTCTGTGTGCAGATGGATCGCCCCATCTCAAAAAAGCTATATTGGACTTGGAAAAGGTTCAGAAAAGAGCAACGAAAATGATTAGGGGTATGGAACGGCTTCCGTATGAGGAGAGATTAATAAGGCTGGGATTTTTCAGCTTGGAAAAGAGATGACTAAGGGAGGATATGATTGAGGTCTATAAAATCATGACTGGTGTGAAGAAAGTGTTATTTACTCCTCATAACACAAAAAATAGGGGTCACCAAATGAAATTAATAGGCAGGAGGTTTAAAACAAACAAAAGGAAGTATTTTTTTACACAACGTGCAGTATACCTGTGGAATTCCTTGCCTGAAGATGTTGTGAAGGCCAAGGCTATAACAGGGTTCAAAAAAGAAATAGATAAGTTCATGGAGGATAGGTCCATCAATGGCTATTAGCCAGAATGGGCAGGGATGATGTCCCTAGCCTCTGTTTGCCAGAAGCTGGGAATGGGCGACAGGGGATGGATCACTTGATGATCACCTGTTCTGTTCATTCCCTCTGGGGCACCTGGCATTGGCAACTGTCAGAAGACAGGATACTGGGCTAGGCGGACCTTTGGTCTAACCCAGTATGGCCATTCTTATGTCCTTAGAGAAGCATGATGGGATATATGATTTCATGCCGTTCGGGGGATATATGTTCCCTAGCTTTGGGATTGCCAATGATTGTCTAAGTACAGAGCACAACCATGGAAGGACGATCTACTATAGGGAAATTAATTTCTACATGCAAAGTATTTGGGAATCTGTTTTTTGTTTTAAACACTTTGACCAGCTCTATACCTGACCTTTGCTATCTTATTTCCATCTGACCAGCATAGTTAGGGGGTTGAATAAAAATACACAATAGAGTCATGGTGGATGGACCTCAATTATTAGTCTTGTTCCAAGTGGTAAAATTATTCCATTTGGTTTCTTGTTATAATTCCTTTATCCCTGACTACACTTATGTAGGCATCATTTAACTGTAATGAAAAACATGGCCCAGTTTGACCTTGTTGGGGAAAAGAAATCTATAATTTCAAATGAAAAAACCCTGTCATGGTTTAACTGTGTTTCTCCATGAAATTACTGAAAATGGACATTAAGCAGTTTGTCAAAGCTACATATTAAGTAATGTTAAGAGAATCAGTATTTTAGCTACTATAAAAAGGTTGACATTAAATCTAGTAACACTTGACTGATACTAGATTTAAGCATTAACCTCTGTGTTATCCATTTAAGTCATTGTGTACATTAAATAACTAATAATGGATAAATGGTAGTGCCCTGTATTAGTACTGTTATTTTGGGTTAATAGATGGAATTCAGTTCATCTGAAGTTCTGTTAAACATATGATTGTTTTCATTGTGAAATGGCATAATTTCAAATTTGCTGTAACTTCTTAAACATGAAGTTAATCAGCGTCAAATCTACCACAGTTTATTTACATGTTGGGCCCAGCACATGGTTTAGCAAACAAGACTGATGTTGGATTTATAGCTATGTTACTGAATGAGGAAAACAGGTTTGCACTGATTTGTGTTCTCATGAATCCAACAGATACAAAACTCTGCCATTTCACTCCTTTACATTCCAAGCTCTGAGTCGCAAATGGCTTTTGAAATATCCTGCTGAGGCTTGAATTTATGTCTGGGGATTTGTAACCAAAAAAAAAAAAAAAGAGAGAATAAATTGTGGGCAATTAATAGAGTTTTTGCACCATGTTATCAGTTAGAATGCTTCATCTCTGTGTGACTTTTTCCAACCTTATTTTCCATATAAAATTTTCACAAAGTAAAATATGGCACAATCCCTGCTCTCCACTTTTATTTTCCTCTGGATTCAGACACACACACACAGGAGATGCATTCTATCCACCCTGGCTAGATCATGGCAAGCTATCTAGGAAAAGAGCAATTGCACAAATTTACACTTTTTTTTTTTTTTTGGTTTAGAGAAAAGATGGAAAATAGACAGACAATCTCTTAGGAGGTATGTGGGATGAGTCAGCCACAAATAATATAGCACAATGACATCTGAAATACCCATGTACATTTAGGTAAGTGTTTACTGGAAATGTACTTAACTGTTCTACCTACGTAGGATTAGTGTTTTTAAAAAGGATTTTACTCTGTTTTCTGTAGCCAACCTAACTATTTTATAAAACTGGCTTTGGAGGACTCTTTCATAGTAAACGAGGCATTGTTCACATGCTATAAGTGAACCTAGGTGTTAATTCACACCACATTCCTCCTACGATGAACCTGAATCTCTGTTATATTTACTGTAGCCATGAGAGTTAGAGAGGAGGTCTGGTCAAAAACGTTCAGTCCAAATATTTTCCCTGATGCAAAATTGGGATTTTAACAAAAAGAAACAAAAACTGTTGCATCTACTCAAAAATTGATTTTTTCATCAAAATCCCCAAAATGTTTAGTTTTAGTATTTTTTTTTCATTTTTTTGTCAGCACTTTCCACACTATTAGAAATACTGAAGTAGGCAGACACCTAAGTTGCCGTAAGAGTATATGAAAGAGGGGGCTGTGAAGTGGCACAAAGACCGCAGAAAAGCATACATTTAGGAACCTTATGTCTTTCATTGCGTCCCTTTGGGCTTATAACTACAGAGTAAAGCAATACCCCTCCTGCCCTAAAGTTATCTGACTATCAGTATGCTGGTTGTATTGGTATCTAAAATCCTCTTGAACAGCGTAGCTGAAGAGCTCAAGAGATTAATGGGGTAGGAGCGGTGAAATCCAAGCAATACAATATGAAATCTTTATCATACCTAATTGGTGTGATCTTCCATCTCCCAGTGGAAATCTCTGGTACCTTGGGACGTTAAATGGAGGCAAGAGGTGGAATTTTTTCTCCAACAGCGGCTCAAGCCTGGAGGCAGAGGGATCAGCAGAGTGAAAGAAACTGTACACTTGGCTGCAAGCTGGACGGACTTGGCAAACTGGAATGAAAGCGAGAGAGAGAGAGAGAGAGATCAGCATTGCATCTTTATGGGTTGCTCACGTATCTTTCGAGAGGTCTAGGTGGGGGTGTGATTAAATATACAGTCCCTTCAACTTCTACAAACAAACAATAGCCCAAACTACACACACAGTCAAAAGGCAGGAGATTCTTCAACTACATTGTTTCATGCTCCCTTGATGACAAAATGAGCTTTGCAGTAAGATAATTTTGCAAAGGGATAACAGTGAGAAATAGGCAACCTGCTGAGGCTAAGGCCAGCCTTTGAAATCAATGGGAAGCCAGAAAGTCAATAAAGTTTTAAAACCTTCTAAATATATTATCGAACATTGCACCTACAAAAGCATGAGGCATCCTCTGCTTGGAATATCTGACGGCAAAACTATTTGATGGGAACATTAAATCAGGAGGATTGAAATGGAGATGAAAGCTGGAGTGGGTATGTGAAGCAAGGCAGCTTCAGAAGTCAATTTCTTGAAGTTAATGCATAAAATGAAACTGCACACATTAAAACAGGAGAACATGGCTTGTAATATTTGCTAGAGAGAGGCAGCTAATGAGAAATTCAGATAGCAATTGTAAAGGGATGTTTGAAAATCACCCGCTCGCTCAGCTAATGAGGCACTCTTTCAATCTGATATACAGCACTGAGATAGAGACATCTCTTGTACTCAAATGGGTGATCATAGAAGGCTGCTGGGGTCTGTAAACCAGCAGGTGCAGTCACTTCCCAGCTAACCAAACTGCGTTTGGATCACTGTGAATCTCTCCAGTGTTAGCAGATCAATCCATTATGGGCTAATTATGCTAATAGACTTAGTATATTACAGCAGCACAAATATGTTACAACAGTCAATTCATTAACTGTAGGAGTAAAGAACTGATTAAAGTACTTATAAACAGATGTTTGGGAATATTATGCCTGCTCCCATTGAACTCCATATGAGCAGGATCAGTCCCTTAATGTTTTCCAAACTGCTGTGCAATATAATAATCTCTCAAATCTTTTCTATTACAGTTTATTACTGTTCTCTTGCACTGATCCTATAAAACTGATAACCTGCATGGTGCTTTTCTTTAAAGCTCAGTTGTTTGTGCAACATTATTCTTGATCATCATCTAAGTGCTGGTATTGTAAACACCATGGGGGGGGGGAATTGTTTTGGGGCACTCCATCACCCATCATCTTTAATGTATGTATTGTCACAACACACTTGGGAGGCAGGGAAGTGCCATTATCTCCATTGGATAGATGGGGAACTGAAGCATAGAGGCAAAGACCCAGATCCTCAAAGGTATTCAGGCCCTTAACTCCCTCAGTGACTTTCCCTAGGTCACACAAGGAGTCTGTAGTGGAGTTGGTACTTAAACCCAGGTCTCCAAATCCCAGGCTAGCATCCTGATCACTGGACCATCTCACCTCACCTCACCTTAATAGTCAAGATGAAAGATTCCTACACTCCCCCTTCCTTCTGAAAGGATTCCCAATGAAACAGGGCAGTGGTTTTCAACCTTCTCTGAACTGTGACTCCATCTTACAGCAGAATATTGTTTCCCTCACCCCCCCAGTCTGGGACACATCTTCCAGAAAAAGAATGAAATTAGGGCTGAGAAGCTGGCCCCATGTTTCAGAAATAGGCGTTAGGCTGCTTTTACCTGGAGGGGGAAACCCATATGCCAGACTGATTATTAACTTGAGAACTACTCTGACAGAATCCACTTAAACTCAATTACTCTGTGTTGCAGGGTTTTCTGATGGAGTTGGTCTTAGGAGCCCTCTCCTCAGGACAACAGGCTCAAATTAAAGAAGGAAATAAAAACAACACATGGGTTCATTGTCATTCTCCACAGTTTCATATGGTGACAGCTGACATGTTCAGCCAGCCGCTGGATAAAACGTGATGTACTTTGGTTCAGGCACTGCATATTCCTCAGCCACGTGTGCTCTTTGGGAGAGGAATGGAAGAGTTAAGTTGGAAAACACTGAAGCTTGACAGGCTTTGTAAGCCCCCTTGCTGATATGTGGCTTTGAAAATCCATGCCATATAAGCTGCAAGTCTAATTGGCATTTAGGGCCAAATGATGGTACCAGTGAAGACAATGGTGCCATGATCTGACCCTTCAAGAATCCCCATGACCATCAATATGATGGCACTGCCCCAGGCAGACTGTAGCAATAGCTTATAGTAATATTCACTTTATACGGGCAGGATGTTGTGCCAGGAACAGAAAGGCAGAATGTTCAGACATACTCAGTGGGCTCCCCATCAGTTCCCAGGGTAATGAGAAAATACATTTTTCAGTGTTCTTGCCAAGAACGGGCTGTTAAAAATGATCACTCATGAAGGTTTCAGTTCACAAAGGTGTCCAAGGAAAAGCATGTCCGCTGTTAGGCATTGACCTCCCGGAGCTGGGGCCCAAGTGCTGAAACTATGTCTAAACTGCAACCAGCACCTATCAACTGTACTTCCTAAATTAGACCACATTCAATGTAAACCAGATTTCTGTTCTGTAAACAGCCAAACCACGTGACCTCAAATTAGCCATCAAAGCATCGCCTTTCCAGTTAGCCTCTGGTTAGACAGATGCAGTTGACTGCAGCCCTAAAAGGCAGGCACATATTCAGCCTATGGGGTTGGGCATGCAAGTCAGGTAGGTGGCCATCACCCTATGGCTGCCTCTACATTTGGAATTCACAGAAATGGGTAGGCATCTACTTTATAGGTGAATCCACTGCATGGGCAGAAGCCAGCAGGCAATGGCCACTACTAACAAATTTGCCCCAGACAGGCATCTCCATGAGTGAGAGTGTTGGGTGCAAGGAGTAGTAGCTCATGGATTCATTGACAAATTTCTAAAATACAGTGTCGGCTTTAAGTTCACTCCTTTCTTTTAATGACCTCTCTAGTTCATCTAGAGGATAAAACCCTATTCTCCTGAGTTGTATGTCATGGAGATGCAGATACTGTGCTCTGGGACTATCCTTCCCTCAATGTTTGATCAAGGTCTGGCAAGCTGGGATCTTTTCTGTCACTGTGAATTGCATTATGCATCACATTCCACATTCACTGACTCACTCTGGGGGTGGTGGAACATTTGTTTCATTCAGGTGGTTTCTTGTCATTTAATTGTCATTAAAAGTCTTCTTTGGGGTCTTTCAGTCAAACTTTGGCCCTTCCCCGGGCCCACTTTGTGACCTGTCTGGTTTATGATCTGTGTCTAATGCCATGTTTCCCAGGTATGGGGAGTCCAAAACCTGCTCTGATGTCTGCTGCATGTTGTTTATTCTAGCAGGAAGTTATCTGAGCATCAAACAATTGGGGGGTGGGAGGAGATGATCAGAGTGTTTGCTTCAGATACTCTTTCTCCCTTCCCATTAGCACCTGAATATGGGCTACTCATTAGCCTATCCGGTGTTTTATGTATTATTCATTGCATATCATTTGCCTATATTACTAAAATGTAACTGAATTTGTAACCTTATCTGTTATGTTCTAGGTCTGTTTCCTCTGTCCATTTTTTGTGCCCCCTGTGTGAACGTTTAAGGGCGTATAACTGGATTGTAAGGACTAATAAGTACTTATAAAATGGCTGCTGTGTTTCTATAATTGCCATTTTTGGGTCTTTTTTTAAAAAATTGTAGTTCTTTGAACATTTTCAAAGCTAAAACTCACTGCAAAGCTTTCACTGTTCTTAAGAGATTGTCTGGAGTGCTTCAAATAGAGGATCCAGTAGTAAACTGTGCTAGTCCCTACTGAGTTTCTGGTCACTGGCATTATTTTGGGAAGACCATGAGATGTATCCATTTCAGCAGTTCTGTGGACTGAGTTCCGAATACTTAACTAGCTAAAATAATTGGTCAGGTTTAGATGAAAAAAGTTACCCATAAAGCTCTGAGGCCAGGGTCTGCATGCTCAGAAGAGTGTGAGTGCTAGAGAATATCAAACTTTGGGAAAGCTTTGATGGACTAGAAAACCATGAATGAGGAACATAGAAGGTGGAAGAGTATGAAATTGAGCTGTAAATGATTAGTGATTTATAGGACGAGAATTGTGACTAGACAACTGGAAGAGCAAAGAAAGAACTGCAGGAGAGGACATTAAAAATTGCCATGGAGTGTCAGGGGAATGTTGGATGAGGGGGAAAATAGAATACCCCTAGAAAGGACAGCAAAATATGGAACCTAGGTTCACTTTTTAGCTAGATTCCTGCTACCACAGAAGAAAAATCAACATTCAAAGCTATGATGCCTAAGCATATGACAGATGTTATATATATTCTGTATGTCTACATTATACAGCATCCCACTACACCATGCGGTCCTATTTGCAGCAGGAAACACACAATCCATTGGGCAAATTTTCCTTTGCCTGTGGACTCATAAAACGTTTCATTTTAGTAATTAGTAAAAACACAAAATAAAACTTTAAATCAAAAACAAAAGGACGTCTAGCCTTATATTTATCATGTTTTCTGCTCTCTACCTCTCATCTCAATGAGGAGTGACTGACTCCACCACCTTACTAATTTCAGTCACATGTATGACAGGAGCCTTCTGGTCACACATTTTCCTTTTGGCAGCACGATTCAATTTTTTTGCCCCCTTATGGAATTCTCCTAACCAGAACCTCCCTCTGAGAACTGACAACACTTCACGTTGCACATAGACTGCTCGTGCTGGAAATGTCTTTGAAATACTGGTCAGAAAGGTTGCTCTCAAAAGCAGCTCCCTGCAGGATATTTGAGGGAGGACGGAAGTGAGGGCTAATGGGAAGAAATAATTTGTAATAGTTCAGAATGCTGTTAATTTAGCAGCATGTTGCTGCTCAGTATCGCAGAGTGCCTAAGCGATGAAGGTTGCACTGTTCCAGCATTGTACTTGGATAGTGAGGAGAGAATGACTGAAGGCAAGAGAGATTAGAAGACTATGCCCCCGTGTAGCCCCACTGAAGACAATAGGATGACTCATTGGCTTCAAGTTAAGCAGCATCTTAAGTACATTGCTGGATTGGGCCTTCACCAATAAAAACTGGGGCATTGAAAGTACAAATATCAGATTGGTAGTAAACACGCAGGTTGCAATAGAAAGATCTTTGTGGTTTCTATATTTTGCTACTGCAATAGCTCGGTAGGTAGTATGGGTGGCCAGAAAACAACTCCATTTCATGAAACATGGAGGTTTTGAAATTTGTTTTCATTCTGATGAAGAACAAAACCAAGACCTTTGGAAAACTGTTGTGAAAAAAACACAAAAAGAGAAAGAGAGGGCGAGGCCCACCCCAGAGTAGCCAATAGCCGGATAGTCAAGGCACTGACTTGGAATGTAGCATGTGCTCTCTCTCTCTCTCTAAAAAAAGAAAAGGAGTACTTGTGGCACCTTAGAGACTAACCAATTTATTTGCACATAAGCATAAGCTGTAGCTCCCGAAAGCTTATGCTCAAATAAATTGGTTAGTCTCTAAGGTGCCACATGTACTCCTTTTCTTTTTGTGAATACAGACTAACACGGCCGTTACTCTGAAATCTCTCTCTAAATTCCATCTTTCACCCGAGAAACTTTCCCAATGAAATTTTCATTTTAAATTACACATTACTGCAAAACATTTCACTGTGGCTGAAACTACAGTTTTTGATGGCAAAAGGTTCAATTGGAAACTTTTTGAGCAGCTGTAATGGACAGTCAATAGGAGCTTCTTTTATGTATCTCAGCTATTTGTTGTAGGTTTAAACAAAGCAGAAATTAACCCTGAAGACCATCTAGCTATACATTCATCTACCACATATTACTGCATGTTCTCACATTTGTCACCTGCCACAGAGCTCGGACACATTATTTCCCACATCACAGCACAGAGGTGTTATACTAACAGAACCTGACACAGCACGAAGATTCAAAGGATACAACTTGTCTTTTAGGAAAATGGGGTGAGTCACCAGAAATAGTATAAATATCCCAGTGTGCATTAAAAAAAATTGTGTTTTTTTTTTGTTTTTTTTTTACTTTACTGGGCATTAAGCCATCACTAAAGAGGAAAAAGAGGTTTTTGACTGTTAAAAAAAAGACCCAGATTCATCCAAATGCCACCTGGAATAATGGGTACAAATCACATGGAAGTCTCTGGGCCAAATTCAGAGGTGATTTTTTTGGGCACTTTTTCAGGGACTGTTCCTACAATTATACTTATGTACATGCTTGTAGCAGTATGACATTGAAATGCATAGCCAGCAGTGATATGAGTTACACATGAGGTGTGAATGGGTCAGAAAACAGGTGTAAATGGTATAGTACCCTAACATGGCCCAGTTGTACAAAATGAGTGCAGCTTACATGCCAAGAAAACAAAAACAGGTGTGTACAGTCCAAAAAGCAAATCGAGAGGAGGGTGTAAGATTAAGCAAGGTGGCTACAATTTATACTTGCACCATTTCTCAGCACTTCTGGGCCCAGTCAGTTTGAGCCCACTTATACCAGGGGCTGAATTTGCTCCCCATGGAAAGCTAAAATGATGTTAGTTATATTTTAAAGCCACATTCTGCTTAGTTGCACTGAGTTCATTAAAATTACTCTGAATTTACATTGGTATATAGTAGAGCAGCATATGGACCATTGGTTACACATACTGTATACCAAAACAGTGCAAGTTTCACTGCTTAAGACGGCATTTACACAAGGTTGCCAAGCCTCCAGGATTGTCCTGGGGTCTCCAGGAATTAAAAATTAATCTTTAATTTAAAATTATGTCATGTGATGAAACCTCCAGAAATACGTCCAACCAAAATTGGCAACCCTACATTTACATCACTGCTGAATTGGGACCTTTAGCATGCTGGTCCATTACAGGTAGGAATTCATCAGGTGTCTCATCTCTAATTTTGCTTAACGGAACAGTGCGTACCTCTCTTTGCCCGTATTGGGCATTAAGCAGCCAGTATTCTAACCTCGAAGAGCACTTACCATCCAGTCCAGGCAGAACAGTACTCCTCATGGCCAGTACTAAGCCAAGCGGTGATCCAAACAGGAAGAAATCTGAAACTTCAAATTCAAACCGTCCCAGGTTTACTTCCGAGAGACTGGAGCTGCTCATAGGAGGAAAGTCTGCATCGTTCTTCATAACACTCGCGTGGATACTGAACAAGGAAAATGGATTGATTTAACAACAATAAACCAGGGGTCCCTTTTCATCTTGCTGTGCAAAGGCTCTACTTCAAAGAGGGGCTGCTTAGAAAACTCCAGTCTCGGTCTGTAGGTCCAAACTTTCTGCTTTAATAATGAGACACTCATACAGCAGAGCCAAGCCCTAACCATAATGGCTTCCCATTCTCTCTGTTACAGTCATCTGGAAATCTGGAATATTTTATTTTCTGATGCAGATACATAATAAATTTGCTACCGTTAAAGATCAGTAATTCCCTGCAGTTAAAATACTTGGCATAGGAGACAGCTGTGTGGGCATTGTATGACTCAGGACTACCCCCCCCCCCCCCTGAAAATAATAATTAGAGCAGGAATTCACTGAAAAAGTGTTTGCTGCAAATTGTAATGGACCCAAGTTGTGTAAGAATATGACTCAACAATGTCATTGTACATGAGAGTTTTTGGTGTTACAAGGATCTTCATGTCCATGAGGGTTTCTCTGACTTTTCACCCCCACTTTGCAGCTATCTCTTTACTACACTTCTGCCAATACCCACCTCTCCATCCAAGCTAAAAAAAATCCAGATTCTACTATTTTTTTTGCCAGATTAGGCAAAAATTATAAAAAAGGATCATTCAGAACTACTTGCTCACTTAACATTATTAATGCTAATCAAATGAGTGTCTTCACATTTCAAACTCTATTATGTTCCCTTTCCTATTTCTCTGAACTAATAAATCTCTAGGAGTGTAGCACTGTCTGCTTTTGATGAACAAAGATTGAAGTTCAAATGCTTGTCATTAGAACACAGGCATACACTGTTATTTCTATCTTGATTTTTTTAAAAATAAAAAGATGGGCTTTTTTTTCTTTTGTGAAAACATAAATAATGTACTTTGGGGGGTGAGGGGGATTTTCTTTTATATATTTATTTTGCAACTAACATGCACCTATAGTCTATCAGTATTAGGAAAAGAAGAGTGCCAATATTTTGATGTGTCAATTTGTAAGCAAGAGAGATCAGACGCCAAAACCTGATGAATTAGTTCAGTTGAGCCAGATTGTATAATAAATGGGTTGAATGGAGAGTTCAGATTAGATAGCCTGGGAGTTTCTTGCTGCTACACAGGGAGCTAAAAGTGATGGACTAGAATTCTTGACAAATTCTCTGACACAGAAAAATGGAAAAAGACACATTGTTTTCTTGAAGCAGGAAGGTACTTTAAAATGTAAGGACCTGGTATCCAAAAAGGAACAGCAGCACATTGATGTGAAAACCAAACAGAATAATCAAGGAAACCAAAGCAAAGAATGCATTGACTGCAGCCAAAGAGATAGAATAAAATTACCTTGAGCTATTACTGACAAAACAGGCAGGCTGGAGTACAGCACTGTGGCAAGTCTGCACTGTACCTGAGCTCTCACAGAACTGAAACTTGGGAGCACACAATGGGGCTTTTCTCTCTATCGGCATCACCCTCAATGAAATAAAGGAAGAAAGAACAAACAGAAAGAAAAAATAAAGCACAAAGGATACAGATACTAAAGCAAGCAGTCAAACTAGGTAGGTAAAGACAGAGAGAGAGACAGACAAAGGAAATGATGAACCTCCCATGCTAGATATATTGTTAAAAGGTTTCTTTTTTAGGATTTAGGGAAGCTAAGTAAGTTTCCTTTAAAAAGATTACTTTTTATTAATTTAAATTGAAGATTTATGGAGGTTTTCAAAAAAGCCTGAATAGTTTGTAGACAGCTGAGAGCACCAAAAATCAATTTCCTAATTCTCTGGAGAATCATGCAAAGCCTCTAATGAAAGTCAGATGGGGCTAAATAATAGTAATAAAAAAAAACTTCCAAAAAAATGCCAAGTCTATTTGATTTGACTTGTGAGAGGTGCATTATAAAAACTGGGATTTTTTGCATTCAGTTTCTGCATTCAAAATTCACACCAGTCAACAAAAGTTGAATTAAAAAATACGCTGAGTGGGTCCAGATCAATGCCCCACACCCCAAAAATTAAATATCTACATTTTTCCGGAGTAGCTTGCAAAGGCTTAAACTAAGTCTGCAGCAACATATTATGTGGGTTATATAAATGATGCCATTACTCTCACATTGCCTGTATTAATACTCCACATTCAATTGTAATCCTATTGCTTTTACTGAATTAAGGACTAGTTACCTCGACAGAAAAGCATGGTGTTGGGAAATAGTGTCACAGTCATAAGTGGACGAGTCGCTCTGTTTCCTTGGCAATGGTTGCCTTGGTGCCTCATCCTCCATGATTCCCGAAATGTCAATATTACTTTTGCTTAGGCGTTTGCTGCCACCCAGACTGGAATCCTCTGCTAAAAGGGGATTATCCTTTAAAGAATGAACAAAGCAAAAGGGAGGTTAAAAAAGCGACCAAAATAAAACACAGCTAATATGAAGCAGTTCTATTTGTATAGTTGTCTTGTATTAACCAACAGAGGGTGGAATTGTTAGCTGTCATCTCTACAAAGGTAAGAATAAGGAGGCTGAGAAACGACCTGATGTCTGTCTTAGCTGTGTGTCATGCAAACTGGGGGGAGGGTCACTTGTATGACAACTTTAACCCTGGTAACTCCCTTTAACCCTGGTAACTTTAACCCTGGTAACTCCTCCCTATCCAAAGTCCAGATCCCATTGACTTCAGTGGTCCTTTGAGTGCCCTTTAAATAACAGACACACATAAGCAGCCTTGATCCAAGTGTATTGAAATACATTAATGCATTAATACAAATGCATTGAAATACATTAACGGAACAGGCCTTCATGCCCCATGGATGCGATAGGTAGATGTAAAGTTAAAATAAAAACTTATTTGCTTAACATGAGCTTTTTGTGTGTTAATGTGGAGAACAATAGGGTCTCCGCTCAATTCTTATTACGCAACTCATCCTATTTTTAAATTTGCCTTTGAATCTCTTATCTGCATTGCAAATCAACATACAATCTTACAGTGAAACTCTCAGTTTCATAAGAATTATTAACAATCTTAACAGAAAAACAGTGAACTTCTCAAAGTCAAAATGCCTTTTGCCAAAATGCTTCCTGGCTGGATTTCTTTTACAGGTCCCTTTTGCAGCACTTTTAAACAAAGCAGCAATTCTGAACAGCAAAGGAATTATTGCTGTGGATAGCTCCTGAGTACTCCGTGAATCTCTCTTATTCCTGTTCATAAGATTTTTGTGAACAGACCATGATTATCTCAAATTGATTAGTTATTCAAAATTGTTTGACTAATAACTTCTATGAAGAGATCTTGCGCTGTACCTTGTCTACAAGCAACCGAGTTGTGAATAGACAACGTATTTGTGATATAATAATTTGAAATTTGCTTTCCACAAATATGTTGCAATCTTTGCTTTGATTAAATGTTCCTTCCTGTAAATTAATTTATAAGAATGTTTATGGCTACCACACACAAAAGGTGTTGAGGGCACAGTGCGTGCGCGCACACACACACACACACACACACACACAGCAAAATCATTTATACCTCCTGCAATTCATTAACTTCAACAAGTTTTGGATAAAGCACTTAAAATATCTGATTGAATAATAAGCTTTTTAATAATTCTCATTGTCACATTATCTAAGCACTGTGAATATCATTAGAGAATATCAGGTTGCCAACTTTCAAAATTTTATCATGAGCCTTGTAATATTTTGTGTTAAAGCCCAAGACCCTAGAGTCATGTGAATACACAAAAATCTCAAATTTTGTTTGTTTAAAAATAAGTTTCTAGTCCTCCTGGGTGCAGAGAGGCTTGAAAACGTGCAGCCTAAAATCTCCAAAATAGCTAAATTAATTTAAAAAAAAAAACCAGAAGGCCAATCAATCCAATTTTTTAAAATCTCCTTATTTTTATGCCAATATCACATTTTTTTCCTTAAGGGCTAGATTCAATTTTTGAATACATGGAGTTGGCAACACTGCAACACAAACGCACTTATTTCTATTTAATCCCACATCTGTTTTGCTGGCCTGGTTCTCAGCAATATTTAGACACTGCCTCGTGCTACCACTGAACTAGGTCAACAGAATGTTCAATAAAAGAATGACCAGTGGCACTGGAAGTTATGGGTCTCTTCAGTCTGTAGGAAATTGGCAGCAGTTCACGGTTGCCCACGGAGCATCATTAACACCTGTGTCCAGGTTTCTTCCGCTGGGTCACAAGGCAACCACTGTGAGATTACTAATGGCACAGTTTGATGATCTTAGAACAATACTGAGTGGAAAAACATCCAAACTCCTGCTGCAGGGCTGCCACCACCCTGGTTAAGTTGGCATTTCCATGTGTGTGTTTATTTACTGGATATCATGCTGCTGTTTGAGCTGGATCCTGTTCAGATGTGGTAGCTGTTTTCTTTAGTGACAAAAACTAATCTAAGTTAACAGGGTACTGCAATTTTTGTTTTTTGTTTGTTTTTGTTACTCTACAGATTAGGAGGAAAAACCCCAGATCACCTAGTTTTTGGATTACATTGTATGTAGCTGCCAAAGCCCAGGCACTTCAGATGAGGTTTTGAGGAGGGAGGGGGTTGTATGGAAGGAATGAACAAGTCTGGATGGAGAAGGGATTAACTACTTAGTAACTTTCTTCTCTCTTATCTTCCACAAGTCAGTGAAGTTTTTAAGAGTGACCTCATTGAGGGCACAATCCTACCCCGTCTCTACACAACTGTCCCCTGCCCCTGATTTCCGTTCTCTGTCACACTGTTCCCCTCAGGGTCTTCCTGGGAACATAACGGGATAATGTTGAAATGTTTTCAGAATCATTGTTTACGGTTTATTACAGTGGAGGCCCCTGCTGAGATCAAGGCTACATTGTGCCAGGTGCTGTACTAACGCAGTGACAGTAGTCCTTCTGCAAAGCATTTACAATCTAAATAGACAAGACAGACAAGGGGTGGGAGAGAGGAAGTGCTACCAGCTCCGTTTTCCAGATGCAGAACTGAGGCTCAGAGAGATTAACCCCTGGTCTAAACTACGGGGTTAGGTCGAATTTAGCCGCGTTAGGTCGAATTTTAAAATGAATGCGTCTACACAACCCAGCCCGTTCCGTCGACCTAAAGGGCTCTTAAAATCGACTTCTGTACTCCTCTCTGGCGAGGGGAGTAGCGCTAAAATCGACATTGCTAGGTCGAATTTGGGGTAGTGCAGATGCAATCTGAGAGTATTGGCCTCTGGGAGCTATCCCAGAGTGCTCCAATCTGACTGCTCTGGACAGCGGTTTGAACTCCGATGCACTAGCCAGGTACACAGGAAAAGCCCAGGGAAATTTTGAATTTCATTTCCTGTTTGGTCAGCGTGGCAAGCTCAGCAGCACAGGTGACCATGCAGTTCCCCCAGAATCGCAAACGAGCTCCAGCATGGACCGAAAGGGAGACACTGGATCTGCTGTATGGGGAGAAGAATCTGTGCAGGACAAATGCCGATCAAAAAGAAGAAATGCTAATATATATGCCAAAATCGCACAGGGCATGGTGGAGAGAGGCTACACCAGGACACACAGCAGTGCCGCGTGACAGTTAAGGAGCTCAGGCAAGCCTACCAAAAGACAAATGAGGCAAACGGTTGCTCCGGGTCAGAGCCCCATACATGCCACTTCTATGATCAGCTGCATGGCATTCTAGGGGGGGACCCTACCACTACCTCACCACTGTCTGTGGACATTTGCAAGGGGGGAGTCTCACGCAACAGGGAAGATTTTGTGGATGAGGAAGGAGGAGGAGGAGAATGCGCAGCAGGCAAGCGGGGAATCCGTTCTCCCCGGCAGCCAGGACCTTTTCATCACCCTGCAGCCAATACCCTCCCAAGGCGGGATCCCCGACCCTGAAGCCGAAGAAGGCAGCTCTGGTGAGTGCACATTTGTAACTACAGTAGAGGGTTTAAAAGCAATAGTGTTTAATGTTTGATTTGCCCTGAAGAATTGGGATGCATTCGTGGCCAGTACAGCTACTGGAAAAGTCTGTTAACGTGTCTGGGGATGGAGCGGGAATCCTCCAGGGACATCTCCATGAAGCTCTCCTAGAGGTACTCTGAAAGCCTTTGTAGAAGGTTTCTGGGGCGGGCTGCCTTATTTCATCCTCCACAGTAGGCCCTGTTACCACGCCAAGCCAGTAGCAAGTAGTCTGGAATCATTGCAGCACAAGCATGGCAGCGAATGGTCCTGGGTTTTGGTCACATTCAAGCAACATTCGGTCTTTATCCTTCTGTATTAGCCTCAGGAGAGTGATATAATTCATGGTCACCTGGTTGAAATAGGAGAATTTTTGTAAGGGAACAATAAAAGGACCCCGTTCATGCTGGGTTGTTTGCGCTTGGCTAAAAGGGTTCACACCGGAGAATAGCCATGCAGTGGTGGGAGGGGTGAAGGGCTCATCCCAGAGAATAGCCATGCGGTGGGGTGTGGGGAGGTGTGTGCTGCACATCCACCCGAAAACCGCAGCCCCTCCTTTTAAATGTGAAACCCAACCGGCATTGCTTGCTATGGGAAAGGATGGTGCTGGAGTTTGAAATCATTCCCACATGTTATGAAGGCGGAAGAAGCCAACCCCGCATACCAAAAGGCTGACCATGGCAGCCTGGAAACCAAATTCTGTTGCCCAGCTGTGTGTGATGTATCACCATACCGGCAGGCACTCACCATAAAAGGCAAAATGCGACCTTGTACCTAAAGCACATGTGCTGTCTGCTGTGAATTGCTTGATTCACTGTGAAATTCACTGTGAAATTCACTTTTGTTCTCAGAAATGCATCATCCTAAATTTTACTCTCCCTTTTATCTCCCCCAGGTGCAAATGTTTCTATGCTCCCCCTATCATCTCCGTCCCTGAGGTTATTGCAGATTAGAAGATGAAAAAAACCACACTCACGATGACATGTTTTCCGGGCTCATGCAGTCCTCCTGCACTGATAGGGCACAGCTTATTGCATGAAGGCATTCAGTGGCAGAGGCCAGGAAAGCATTAAGTGAGTGTGAAGAGCAGAGGCAGGAGGCAATGCTGAGGCTAATGCAGGAGCAAATGGACATGATGAAGCATCTGTTGGAGCTGCAGGAAAGCCAACAAGAGCACAGCCCCCCTCCCCCCCCCACGCTGCATCCATTGCATAACCGCCTGACCTCCTCCCCAAGTTCCATATCCTCCTTACCCAGATGCCCAAGAATGCAGGGGGGGGGTGGGGAGGGGAGGCTCCGGGCACCCAGCCACTCCACTCCAGAGGATGGCCCAAGCAACAGAAGGCTGTCATTCAAACTGTTTTGATTTGTAGTGTGGCTACAATAAGCAATGTGGCCTTGTCCTTCCCTCCTCCCAAACCCCACCCCACCCCA